GACCATAATAAACGTTTTCTTTAAATTACAAAAAAAACACCCCACTGCCAGGAAGTCAATCTAGATTTTTAGTGACTCAGAGGAGGGAATAAAACTGCCCCTGCAGGTTTTCTGATGCTGTGAATCTTTCCTAACTGAAAGTCTTAACCTGTCTACTTCAGATGCCAGTGGCTCTGAACCATCAACCATGTGGCTAACAGTCCAACACATAACCCATTAGGAAATACAATGAAAACACTTCAAACTCACTGCCCCTGTGGGTTTCCTAGCTTGTACTTTTCATCAGAAAGTTTCTTTTCTCCTGAGTAAATACTATAGCGATTGTAAAATTAGCACTGGATTAATATCTCCGCACTGTAACATATCTAGGTATGCCATGGTCTTAAGAGAATGAAGTAGATTAAAAATCTCTTTATGAAATCGGATTTTATGCACAAAAAGCAAAACTGAAAACATACTATACACATGGGAGTGAAGTTTATTTATTAGCTATATTATGAACATTATCTATTAACCAATCATATATACTTTAAAATTCCACAAAGACACATATGCAAGTCATTTATTCTTTATAAAGAAACAAATGGAAATATTAATTCTGGAAGATTTTTAATGAATTCAACACTATTATACATTAGAGAAAAAACAATTTCCACAAATATTCCTTCACAAAGCTTTTATATTTACATAATATTATTTTAGTAATTTCAAATGTGAGTCTATGATACAATAATGTTATTTCAGAAAACATAAAAAATATAGTTCTTTTAAAGCCATGCTCCCATTTTTTGATGAAAGCTAATTAATTGGTTCATCTTGATGTAAGATTAATACTTTAAAATGCATAACAGGTATTCAGTCAGCTTTAAGACAGAAGGGTGTCAATCATAATAGACAGTGGGCTCATCATCACTTATGTCTGAATCATCCTCATCTACTCCTTCAATGACGGATTTCTTCCCTTTACAACAGGATACAATTAACCCAATCAAGAAGAACTGTAAATTTGAAAAAACTATGTGTTATTCTTCAAATCTAAAGTCATCTGGAAAGAAATGCATTTAGAGAGCAATGGCAGTTCTCTCATGCAAATGAACTGCAAGAACGTATAGGACTAAGCAGCTTGTACAATTTTAAAGGAGTGTCCAATCATTTTGAAGATGCTTGCACTTACCCCAATGAAGGCCCAGTTGCCAAAATAGTATGCAGCACTAAAGAACCAGAACTTATGAAGGAATAGGTAAGTCCGGGTAACAGTACATTGATCTATAAAACAAATAATGAATGTCACTGAGACACCTTCTCTCTTAAAATATACTATTGAAGCTACCAAAGATTATTAACCAAAGTTAATTACTAAGGTCACACAGTTACTAAGTGGTAAATGGGACTGTCTCCAACCCCGTTTTTTAAGAACTCAATGTAGTGAAAAAGGACAAACTACTAAAACCTATTTTAAAATATCAATGTCCCCTAACTAGAATTACACAGCTTATGAGTAGGAAAATATATACATATATATTGGTCATTCAACTTATTTTTAATAGAAAAATAATTTTAAGCCAGAATGTCATACATATCTTAAAATACAACAAGAAGTTCATAAAATTTTCCTGGTAAACATCAAGAAAAAATGAACAGGCGTTTGAAGACTTTCAAAGTACCGCATTTGTTTTTCTAGGAATCTAATTCTCACGATAGTTCACAGCTATGAGGTCATGTTGATGTTTTTGTTGTTGCTGCTGTAAAGAATGCTACAAAGGATGGCTGCTTCTAAAAAAAAAAACACTTCCTGTTTAAGCTTTAGATAGTGTATCAGGAATTAAAACGAAATCATATTCTTTTCTCCTTCAAATAAAATGCCATTAAGAATTAAGTGGAAGACTGGTTATTTGAAATGTATTAGTTTTATCCAAATATATTCTTCCATTAACAAATTCATCTAAATAAATACATCGACATAAATCTAGTAGAGACCAGCTAATGAGAAACTTGTTTATTAGAAAAGTTAGCTTTGAATGTAACTGATTTTCCCAAAGTGGCGATATTTGCTCGCTGGGGGAGAGGGGTAGTGCTGAAATGGTCCAGAGAGGATGCAAAACCAGATACTTTAGCCATCAATTCCTGGAGCTTGGTTTTTCCGCTATGCCTTCAGTGCAGTATCACTGGTTCTTGATTATATGCTATCTCTTACTATAGTTGAATGTCAATTAGTTCTTTTTTGTACAGTGACTGCGTATTCCTTCCATTTTCTTTTGGTGCTTCCTGAATCGTTCAATATTTTGTCCATAAAATATTTTAACGTAACTTGATGGTACTGAGAAAAGTCCAATTTGCATTGAAGGCATCGGAAAACCACCACGGCTTCAGGCACTCCTCTGGGACAAGACATATGGAAGACGGCTGCTATTATGCGTTGCAGTGGACAAATCAGTAGAGGACCTTTCTCGAAGAGCAAGAATGTCCCTTTTAAGTCTACGGTGTACCTGACCCAAGCCAGGGTGTTTTCAATGGCTTCACATACCTATGAAAGCTGGACATTGAGTAAGAAAGCCTGAAGTAGAATGGATGTATTTGAATTACGGTGTTGGTGAAGAATATTGCTATACTATGCACAGCTAAAAGCACGGCCATGGAAGGGAGGATGTTGAATCTTTAGCTCATGTACTTTGAAGCTATCTATCATCAGGAGCCACCAGCCCCTGGAAAAGGGCATCATGCTTCCTGAAACAGAAGGGCTGTGAAAAAGAGGAAGACCCTGGACAAGATGGACGGGAACAAAGGCTGCAACAACGGCTTGGGCAGACAAGAATTGGGAGCATGGCACAAGACCAGCAGTGTTTCATTCGGTTGTGCTAGAGTTTCTATTAGTCAGAACCGATTAGATGGCTTTTAACAACAAAAGCAATGCTTTATCCTGGATTTGGGGCTATAATACAAAAGTGCTTAATTGCCAGAGGGACACGGATTATGTTTTTTTCCCCCTTTTCCTCCTGAAAAAGGGAAGTTGGTAGACCAAATAAGTTTGGGAACCTATGTACTAGAGGATACCCGTTTTATAAATTTCAGAAGGACTTTATTATATAGGAAAGTCTTACTTTACAAGGCAGTATCCTTTCAGTCGATTATTATATAACCTCTAGTATAAGCGGAGTTTTCCAACACATTTTAATGCAGTTTTTGTGGTAAAAACTGCACATGGTAATTACAGAACTATTATTTCTACATGTTTTATCAAAATTGGAGATATAAAAAACATTCATAACAATTTGGAGATATATTACTGATGAATATTATCTTTTATTTCTATTTTTCACTATTTTCAGCTTCATTAAGTAAAACAAAATTGAGTGGATAGATTGTAGAGCCCAGTTTATTAATAGTGATGGAATACAACCTTTTATTTTTTAACTGAAAAACCGTTTCCTAAATGTAGCAGTCAGGTTACGTTTTATCAAAGTAGAAGACGTGTTATTTAAAGCACAATCTAAATGCTCCCTGTTCTAGTCCCTTCCACTGCATTTCAACATTGACTTCTGAATTGCTCAATACTTGACTAGATAAAGCCGTCTTTTTCTGCCAGAAAAACTAAGTTTAATAGAAAAGCAACTTCTTTTCACACCTAATTTCAGTCTATTGATCCCCCAAGGGCCTCTTTCATATTCTTTGTTCTCTTTTCAATAGAAAAGTGGAGAAGAAATATTAAAAGTTTCTAAGAAACCCAAAGAACCTTTAAGCAACAGTGACTGATTAAATGTTACTTTTCCTTCCTATAGTTTCTGAGCACCCAACAGGTACACTATCCTCCCTAAGGTGCTAGGTGCTAGTTCATTCTGGAAGAGAAGGTTCCTAGACACAGTTAATTCTTTTGTCATTTGAGAGATGTTTCCACAACATTATACTCCCCCTCTTTCATAGAACTTACTTCAAAGTAATAACCAGTCTATCTCATTAAATAAGACTGAGTGTTCAAAGAACCCAGCGGAGAATCAGGCATCTCATGACTGTTATAATGATAACATTCAATGACTATCTGCTATAGTGAACTAAATGCAAAATATGTATTTTATTAAAAATTCAAATTGCTAAATAATGTATTTTCTAATTTCTTTTGACTAAAATATGACCAAATTCTGAGAGTGTGAAAATAACAGGCTTTAATGTGTTTCGAATGTAACAGTACAAAAGGCAGCACAGGGTGGGAGGAGTCTGGGCTCTGGCCTCCGACAAACTTAGCACAGAACATCATTTGGTTACTTCCTCCAGATGTGTCAAATAGGGATATCACAATCTTTCTTTTAGTATTGTAAGGAACAAATGAACTACACCAAAATCCCATGTATGTTGGTAATTAATATTGCCCTTCATTTTTCTTTTTCAATGTATAACCCAATCCATGATAAAGAATATAGGTCTGAAAAGTTCCCCTAATGGATGTAAGAAAAGTATCTGATTTTATGGTTTGGAAAGCACATGTCCAACGGCCCCCAAACCAAAATCAAGCTGACTCACAGTGACACTATAGGGCAAGGTCGAATTCTTCCCTGTCCAAATCTAACAAGGAAAAAATTACTTTAGGGTAAATCATGACAACTTTGTCCATGGGAATTTTTTAGTCAAAACAGTATACTGATTTGGTGAAATTAAACTTGTGTCTAAAATTCAAGTAACAGGACACACAGGTAAATAACAATACATCTCTAAGTAAAAAGAACCAATTTGAATGTTTGAAAAATGAAGATAGGGCAGATTGGAACTATGTAAAGAATAAAAATCTAATTATACATATATCACATACATACTGTACATCCACACACATCTGTTCAAAATTATTTTTAAAATAAGCGCATTAACCTACATCACTTACAAACTACATGAGTTCTCTATTGTACAAGTGGACCTGTTTTGAAAAGAGCCACTCAAGATTTACAAAATTCCTAATGCTCTAAATTTAAAAATAAAAGTTCTACTACCTATTACCTATTTCCATGCTTCAAGATATTTTGGGAGTCAGAATTTGAATTAGAAATGTCAGTGACAGCAAAGATTATAAAACAATTTAAGATGATGAAAGACAATTAAAAAATTTTAATCCATAGATCTAATAATCCATTAGTGATATTTTATATTGGATTATACTTTGATCCTTTGCCCCCATCATAAATATATCTTAAATATATTATCACATTATTTTGCATTTTAACAGTTTCAAGAGCTTTAACATAAGCCCGTAAAAAAGATCTAGAAACCATTGATAGTTTTCTGCTTTGTTAAAAAACTGACCGTAAACACACACACACAGACACAGACACACACACACACACACACACACACACACACACACACGAGTACATAAGAAGTCACAAATGCTATATTTATATGCATTTTTTATTATATTTGTGAAGAGTGGAATTATATCCCAAGAAGACTGACTTCTGGTTAAGAAGTTGATACGTCCCTAAAAACTCCTTAACATGGGGGGTGGGGGCGGGTGGCGTGGGGAAGTGACCTACAATTAAATCAGTACTTTATTTAATTTCACTAGGGGAGCTAAATAAAAATGAAAGACTTGGTACCATAAAAAGAAAAGCATAGAAATTATAGAGGAAATATGCTTACATTTTTAAAATAGACAATGCATCAGACTTACATAGTACTTACCAGTACTCAAACTCATTAAAGAATGAATTTTATAATGCCATTATTTAAGAAACAGCGTAAGGTATATTGGACTCTCATTACAGTTAATTAAGGTGCATGTATTTGTTTAAATGAGATAGAAAAGAGTTCACCAAGTCGGGAGACTATTCAAGTGAAAAAAGGAGTTCATCTACTAAGCATGAGCAGAAAGCAAAAATGGATGAGAGACTTACAGGAAATTACTATATATCCTAGGTAAATACTGTTATACTTTCAAATGGATTCATAACATATGAAATGCATATATGTTTACATATATAAAGATCTACTTGCTATAATATATATTGGATTTAATAAATAAGTTTTGCTAATTCATCATCATTATTATTAATTGGGCGTGTAAAATTTATTAAAATGCACCAAAGTAGGTGACATAATATGATCTGTACAATACATATTCAATTCAAACTCTGTCATGGAGCTGATGTTGATTTATAATGGCCCTACAAGACAGACTACAACTGTGTCTTCGGGGAATCTAAGACTTTCAATGTTTACAGTAGCAGATAAAGGACAAGTAGGTTCACAAAGCTGCCCTCGCCATTAGCTGCTCAATGTGGAGTCCA